GTTTTTGTGTGACTCTCTCATCCACATTCAATCACATCAATCTAACACGCTAACCAAACGGCCTAGTTCAGGGGTGTCCAAACTTCTTGCAAAGAGGGCCAAATTTTATAAAGTGAAGATGCCCGGGGGCCAATGGTTCCTTTTGACATTTTTTTCCATAACAAAGTTACGTGAAAACGTAATGAAGAACAATTTTAATAGTCATTACCTTTATTTTTAAAATGGAAATGTACCTAAATAAAAGCCACTCAGGCAAGCATGAACAACTCTAAAGACACAATTCTGCCTTTCATTTCTATCTGGAGAGTCAGATAACATTGAACAAACTGTATAGAATACCCTAAATTTCCATGAGTTTGCAATATCGTTGCCTCATGAACATTTTAAACAGGAGTTATAAGTAATGAAAAGTGGTCTCTTATCAATAAAGTTTAAAAAAAGGTAAACTTTGCGCTTGACTTTTACAAGATCTTTCCAGACGTTTTTCACATCAGATCTTTCAAATCTTCACAGGAAGATTACACAACTGGGAAGTTCACTTGCCACAAGAAATAAACACACATGTAAATATACACAATATGTACAAACAAACAAACAAAATACATTTTCCTTTTGTGAATTGCATTAGTGTGCTTTATTCTTTTTACTGTTCAAAGCTGGGAAGTGTGCGGTACAGGGCTCTGTTAGGGACAAGTGTCTTTGGAAAAGTTATAGTTTGGTTCCAAAGGCCTTGATGTGAGCGTATAGTTGGCTCCCCACTGCGTCTTTTCCTTGAAGATTAACATTCAGCGCATTCAGATGCTTCGTAACGTTGACCAGAAAAGCCAGATTTGCCAGCCATACAGGATCAGACAGTTCTTCCATTGGTTGTCCCGTCTCATCCAAAAACTGTCTAATTTCCTCTCTGAGAGAGAAAAATCGCTGTAGTGCAGACCACCTCACATCGTTGTGATAAATTACGTCACCGTATTCAGCCTGGATGTCATGCAGAATCTGCTGAAACTGTCGGTGGTACGGAGCTTTAGAGCGAATACAGTTGATTGTCTTTGCTACTGGTTTCATAACATCATCAAATTTGAGATGTTTGGCACAGAGAGCCTGCTGATGAATGATACAGTCAAGTCTAACAGCGTTACCTGCTTCCTCGCTGACTTCATTGCAGATCAGTGTGGACAATTCGCTTCGCTCACCAGCCACGGCAGGTGCACCATCAGTAATGATCCCAGAAACTTCACTCCATGGTAGCTTCGTATCATCAACAGCTTCGCAAACAGAAATGAATAAATCCATTCCTCTGCTTTGACCCTTAAGGCTTTTGAGATCCAGCAGCTCCTCTGTCACGTTCATCTTGTCGTCGACTCCTCATAAAAGAATCAGCAGTTGCGCGGTGTCAGATGTGTCTCACAGGCCCGCGTAAAAAATCACTGTTGCACAGCCAGAGCAGCTTGGAGTTGCTTCACTTTTTCAGCGCGCTCACTCCCTGTTAGCTTGTTATATGTTGCAGCAAGTTTAGTCTCGTAGTGTCTCCTAATGTTGACATCCTTAAACAAGGCACCAGTCTCTTTACAAATAAGACAAACACAACTGCCTCGAATTTTAAGTTAAAAAAAAGCAGAGCAGAGAAGGGCGGGCTCGCAGCTCAGGTGCAGGTAGCAGAAAAAATGTGCTGCCACCATGTGGTGAAAAAGGGAATTGCATTTTTAAAGTCATGAAGAAAGTGAGCCATAAATAATACGTGGCGACCGTGGCTCAGGGGGTTGGGAAGCGTATCTGTAACCGGAAGGTCGCCGGTTCGATCCCCGGTCTCTGTCCTGGTCGTTGTGTCCTTGGGCAAGACACTTTACCCTACTTGCCTACTGGTGTTGGCCAGAGGGGCCGATGGCGCGATATGGCAGATATGGCAGCCTCGCTTCTGTCAGTCTTCTGTCAGTCTACCCCAGGGCAGCTGTGGCTACAACCGTAGCTGCCTCCACCAGTGTATGAATGTGAGAGTGAATGAATAGTGGTATTGTGGTATTGAAAAGGCACCCAAAGCCAAAAGGCTTTGGGTGCCTTGAAAAGCGCTATATAAGTCCAATCCATTATTATTATTAATACATAATTAGACTGAAGCTGCGGGCCATGTGAAATCTGACGGCCCGCGGGCCGGACTTTGGACATGCCTGGCCTAGTTGATGTCAGTTTTAATCTGTTGTTTTGTGTTAACTTTGTAGATGAGCTAATTCATAATAACTTAGCTAATTTACAAAAGTGCCTCCTCTAATCTGTGATCTAATATAATTTCCAACCTTAGTAGATCTGCTAGAATGTTGCGTCAGTGCAAATTATTTGTTGGGGAAAAAAGTGCTGTTGGTATTTAGTGTAGTGAGTGCAGTGAGTGTAGTGACAAGTTTGCAGATGTGGGGACTCCTTTAGCAAGCCAAAATATCAGGAGGAGAACTGAATTGTGCAAACTGGTTTATTAATGTTGTGTTTAACGGCAAAACTTTAACGCCAAAAACGTCTTTAAAAAAGCAGCAGAGATTTAAGAAGGCATGCTAGAAGATAGCAAACTTTGATTTTCTTTTAGTCATAGTCTTTTGACTAAAATGTAATTTAGTTTTAGTAATAATTTAGGCATCTAAATTATTTTAGCTTTAGTCTAGTTTTAGGTAACCAAAGTAAGATTATCGTTCACTAAATCTGATTTCATTAAAATCTAAAATGTAAAAGTTTGTTGTATTTTTACACATTTTTATAAACAACCTGTGTATGGGCTCAAAATGTGGTTTATAAATATTTTGTACTTGTAAATCAGAATTTGTATGTGTAAAAAAGATTTGTGTGTGTGTGTAAAAAAAGATTTGTGTGTGGACTTATGATTGGTCAATGTCATGTCAATCACAAATGTAACAATCCAATCAGAGAACAGATGGGTTTGGCTGTCGGGGGGGTGGGGGGCGTGCTTTTTTTGAACTGCAGGTCCTTGAAGGGTAATACAGTTTGAAGCTGGAGGATCTCTATATAAATATCTGATAGCAGTTAGGTCCCCTAACTTTCAGCAGCTGTTGAAAGGATAAAGTTGTGGTATATCAGTGGTTAGAAATACCATTATTACTTTAGGATTAGTTTAACACAAAGTTAGGGCTGACCCGGGACCATTGACCAGCATAAAAGTCCAGATGCAGGATGTGCTGCTAATGCTAACTAAAAGCAAAGGATCCAGAATTTGTTGCGCTGGCTGCTGAGCTCTGTGGGTTTTTGCAGCAGCTCTACCTGTACTAGATGCACCTGCTCCTTGTCGTTTCTATCTCTGACTTTATGTCCTCTACAAGAGTTTCTGGTTTTTTTTGCTGGTTCTTCAAATGTTCAATAAAAACATGTATGCTAATTCATAACGAAGAAAGCTTTGTAATGAAGACTGACCCCTCCGAGAGCCAAACCGATCTGTTCTGTGATTGGATTGTTACATTTGTGATTGAAATGACATTGACCAATCAGATGAAAGGAAGAAAAATAGGGTCAAAATTCGTACTTGTAACTTGCAGGGTTTTTTGGCTAAGTCCACACACAAATCTTTTACGCACACACAAATCTTTTTTACACATACAAAACTGATTTACAAGTACAAAATATTTATGACCACATTTTGAGCCCATACCTGTGGCTTCTGTAGCAGAAACTTCATTCCCTGCACAGTCGGGCTCAAAGCAAAATGGCTGAAGAATCAAACAGAAGGATGACGATGTTGACCTCATCCTGAACATTTTAATACAAGTTTTTTTTAATACAGAAAAAAAACAAAACGTTTTTTTTGTCATATATATATATATATA